TTTTTGAGCTGATATTCACCCAGTGAATTTTCTAGGTCATTTTACCATGATGGCCGAGAAAACTCAACTTGCAAAAGTTAGGCCATCACGTAAAAACGACCTAGAAAGTACACCAGGGTTATGTTAGGTCATTTTGCCATGGTGGCCTAACTTTTGCATGTTGGGTTTTTCTAGGCCACCACGTTAAAATGGCTTAGAAAGCCGTCCAGGTGAAAATTTAGCGATTTCTAGGCCGTTCACTATGATGGCCTAGATAACTCAGCTTGCAAGTTAGGCCATCTTCCATTTGACCAGTTCTTGAATCCCCTCTGATTGCTCATCTTAATTTCCTGATTTTCAGATCCGAAGAGGAAGAGATCAACAGTGTCAGCACGACAGTGCTGAATCCAGCACTCCGCCGTCAGAATCGCCGTCAGCAGAGTCCAGAGGGAGATTCCTAAATTTGACATCTTCAGAATCCTCCCCCCACGTCTTCTGATCTTCTGATTTCCCCCACCCATTCTAGCTTTCTCCAATCTGATCTGTTCCATTTTTTTCCAGCCATTTTTAGACCTTTTCCTAAAATTGGCTCATTTTTTGTTATACAATTTTTTGCGCCTCACAATTTTTAACCTGCCTCCCCGTTGAATTTTTTTCATTTTATTGTTAGTTTCATTGTTTTTAGAAATTCTTTTTGACCACGAATTGGAAACGATTTTTTGCATGGCCGTTCTAGAACTGTGACGTTTTGGAACTCCGATAAAAAACGTTCCAATTTGAAAAATACTATATACAATGTGTGTTGTTGTGTGTTGACTTTCTTCTTCTTTCAAATCATACAAATAAATCTGTTAAATGTTTTTTTTTTGAAAAATTAGGGACCTTGAAATTTCCAAACTCAAAAGAATCTCAAATTCTGAATCACAAAAGTTTCAGAAATTAAAAAAAAATTGAAACATTAAAAATCAAAATTTCAGCAAAGTGGAATTTCTGAAGTAATTTTTGAAAAATCCTGAAATTTTTCCAGAAATTTTTGGAAATTTGAATCAAATTTTCAACACAAATTGAGATGTTGTGAAAATAAAAAAACCTGAAATTCAAAAAAAAAGTCAAAAATTTCAGAAAAAAAAAGAAATTTCTAATTTATAAAAAAACAATTTGAGATGATTCTGTCCGCCAGTTTCTGATCCGTCCTTTCCAGTTTTGGCTTCTTCGGCTTCTTGTTTAAAAACGGCAAGGACATGTAGGAGGATGAGCAAGGTTGTTGTCATGATTAATGGTTCAGTGAGGACCAGATAACTTCTTTTATAGGGGTTTTGAGCCGAAGCCAACTCATCCAACTATTATGACATGCTTGAGGTCACCAAAAAAAGAAAAAAAAACAAAAAAATTTCAAAAAAAAATTTTGAAAAATCTTCGATGAACCCATGAGCATATTTGTGAATTTCTTGAATTGAAAAATCTTCGATGAACCCAGGAGCATATTTGTGAATTTCTTCAAAAATTAAATGTCTGTTTTTATTCTGGAAAATGCCTATTCATAACGAGAAACTCCCGAAAAAAATGTTTAAATTGCGTGAATTTTATTCCAGAGCCAGTTATGGCAGCTTAAAATAAAACAAAAAAAGTTTTGCAAAATTTTTGGGATCGGGAGAATCGAACCTACAACCTTCCTCCTCTGAACTTGCCATTTTACCACTTTACCACACTGCTAATTGAAATCTATTGTTTTAAAAGAAACACACTATTCCGTAAAAAAAATTTCACGAGAAATTGCTTAATCATAGGGAAACTTTTCTAGGTCATAACTCAGCTCACGTGAGCATTTTGCTGATTTTTTTTAACAGATTTGGAATCCTCATAAGCTCTTCTATCTGTTCCCAAAATTTCAAAAAAAAGTTAAACCTGCTCCCTCGAGTAACTCCCTTGTAAAAATTTTTTCAATTAAAAAACTCGAGTCAAAATTAAGAAAAAAACTGAAAATTCTGGAAAAAATTTCAGAAAAATCGAGGTTTTACCAAAATTTAAATTTTTCTGAAAATCGAAATTTCTCTGAAAATTTAAAAAAAACCAACCTTTCAGGAAAATTCAAAAAATTTCAAGAAAAAAACTCAAAAACCAACAATTTCCCATCTCAAATTCTTTATTACCAAAAAGCTTCAAAAACCCGAAAATCCAGATTTTTCACCTTAAAAAATACAAAATCTTATTTTAGTTCTAAACCGAATACGAGTTCCCATTAATAACCAAAGTGGAGACATTTGGCTTCTTCGTCAATGGTCCATTCAAAATTCCCGACAAATTAAAAGTCTGGCGTCCGAGATTGAATTGAGCCGAAAATTTGGTACGGTCCATTTTTTGGTCCGAAGTTTTGAGTTTGGTACTCGATTGAAGCTGTTTTGGGACAATTGGAAATTCTTCGGTTTCCGCTTTTTTGACGAGAGTCTTTGACACGGTTTTCATCGATTTTTGCTTCTTCTCGAGAGGTTGGAGGAGCATCTGGAAATAGACATTTTTTCCGAAAAATTTGAAATTTTCAGGTTTTAAAAAACAATGTATTTTTTCATAAAATTTTACTGTTTCGAAGCATTTTTATACTGAAATCTTTTCTTTGAAAACCAATCTTTCGACAATGAACATTTCGAAATTTCAAACTTCTGGTAAATAACCAAAAATGAGAAATTCGATTTTTTGGAAACCAGTCGATTTCCGCCGCCTGTCGGCGGCTACAATCTCCTGGCTTCACTAAAAATGTTTGAATCTCCGAATCGGAGAGAATCAGAAGACGAAGTTTTAGTTGATTGTGTCGTCAACTTTCATAAACTGGAGTGACAGTCTGCTTATGCGCCTTCGGGGTTAAACCTTCTGTCTCCCGCTTACAACACCCTTAACCGATTGTGTTTGGGCTTGGACAGATAAATCAGAAATGTAGATCGGAAATGTGTCTTAGTTGATACACGAACTGTTCAAAATTTCCAAATTTTTAGAACTAATAATTTATCTGAATTTCCGAATATCTTGAAATTCGACAACTTATAATTTTTTCAGAAGTTTCGAAATTCAGGAGTCCTGAATTTTCGGAACTGCGATTCTAGAACTCAAAGATTTTTCTATTAAAATACTTCATTTCAAAACTCATAATTTCTGAAATTTCGTATTTTCGAGTTTCCGTATTTCCGACTTTCTGAGATTCTACTTCACAAATTCCCAAAATTGAAAATTTTAACACGAATCAGATTTTCAGAATTTTCTCTAAAACACATTCCTGAATTTTTGATTCACAAAGTTTATGAATTTCCGAATTTTCTAAATTCCGAACTTGGGCTTTCTGATATTCTGAACTTCTGAGTTTCTGGTTTTTCTGGTTTTGTGCTTTCGAGATTTTGGATTTTCAAAATTTCGAGTGTTCTAACTTTCAAATTTTTCAAATTTTTCAAAATATTCCGAATATCTAAATTTTTATACTTCTGGATTTCCGAAACATTGGACATTTGAATTCTCTGATTTTCAAACTTCAAAATTTCCGAAGTTTCAAATCTCGGTATTTTCGAGTTCCCGTTTTTCCAATTTTCCGAATTTCTGAATTAGAATTTTAGAATTTCAGAGCGAAACCAAAATGTTTGAAGCATAGGAATGGTTAGAAATTTCGCATTTTCGAAAAAAAAATAATAAAATTTCGTGAATCAGAATCTCCGAAATTCAGGGAACACATAAGGGTCCCTTATGTGTTTTTTGAAAATTTCGAAACTAGTGAAATGACGTGCCCGTCGGGCATCCGAAATTCTGGAAAAAGCCCGGCCCGGCCCGGCCCGTTACAAGTATGGAATTTTATATTCTCATGAAAATGCTAACAAAGTCGGCTTTCTACCAATACATTGATTTTCATTTTTAAAAATGGTCAAAAATAAACTTTCTGAAACATTAACATTTTTTTTCAAAATTTCTTTGTGAAAGTTAGAATTTTTCAGGAAATTCAGATTTGAAAAGTTTTTTAATTTTAGAAAAAACATTTTTTTTTGGAAATCTTTCGTCGATCGAATTAACATTTTTTCCAAATGTTCAAGATCAAAGCCCCATGAAACAGAAAATGTTTACAAATTTTTTTAAACCTAACGAAACTCAAGAGTTACTTTCCAAATTCCAAAAAAAGCAACTCACTCTAACCGGTGGACAAGAAGTGGAAACAAATTCCATGGGTTTGAAAAGCAACGAACATTCCCCAGTTGTCGTTGTCGTCCCATCAGCTGTTGCGACGACAGATGACTCGATGGCAGAGGAGACAGGAGACATCTGAATATTTGGAAATTCAAATGGACTCTGTTTTTTTTTTGAAAAAGTTACCTCCATTTTCGGCTGATTTCCAGCTGAATAAGTAGCAGATGGGAACAGAGAATCCGGTTTGGGTTTCTTGTTTCCGCGGCATTTCCTGAATTTCAAATTTTGAAAATTCCATGAAATCTCTAATAGAGTTGCACCTCGTCCCTAAACTTTGAACTAATTTTCCTCGGTTCCAGTAAAAGGTATCAAAAAGTGGTGGTTAACTAACAAAATATAGAAAATTTTATGGTTAACATTTTATCAGTTGGCCATTTTTTGATATCTTTTACAGGAACTGAGAATAATTGGCTCAAAGTTAAAGGTCAAATTTCAAAAATTTTTGAAAAAAAAAGAAGGACTTACAAGTAACGAATATCGTCCAATGGCTCAATGGCCAACTTTTGAACGTGTTTACGATAGAGAGATTGAGTGGATTTCGACGATTTCGCAGTGGTTTGGGCAGAGCTTTCTTGGACAACCTTCAAATTTTTTTTAGAATTTCGCCCGATTCTTCGTTTCTGTCAGAAATTAGAAGTTTGGTGAAAAAAAAACTATTTTAGGGTTTTCAAATATGTTTTTCGGATAGAACACATTCTGAAAAACCAAAAAGCCAATGAAAATTTTTTGAAAAAATTAATTTTTGAATTTTTTCGAATTTCAAAATGTGTTCTATCAGAAAAGGCAAATTGAAAACCGGAAGAAGCAAAAAGTTGCAGTTTTGCGAAATTTCTCCAAAAACTGAAACATTGATTTTTTCGATACAAAATTTTTGGAAAACCAATGATGTCACATTAACACGTTTTCTAGGCCATGTATATAATATGGCCTAATTTTTGCGAGGAGAGTTTTTTCTTTCTAGGCCACCTAGTTTTATGGCTTAGAAATGACCAGATATTCCTTCGATGTATTTTCTAGGTCATTCAACATGATGACCTAACTTTTGCAAGTTGAGTTTTCAAGGTCATCATGATGAACGGCCTAGAAAACCACTAATTGAATATTAGATAATTTCTAGGCCATAAAAGCTGGTGGCCTAGAGAATCAAACTTGCAAAAATTAAGCCACCATTGTAAATGGCCTAGAAAACACACCAGGTGCATGTTGGACCATTTTTAAGCCATAAAAATTTGGTGACCTAAAAAAATCATGATAAGTTACTCTAATTTCAGTAGCGACCTTTCGAAAAACTCTCGAATTGCAAAAGGAATTTGACCTCAAAATTGTTGAAAGAGTAGTTTTTGAACTTTCAAAAAAAATGTTGAGAGACTTAAAGGAGACGAGACAGCAAAATTTTTTTTTCGTGTGTAATTTTTAAAAATATAACAGAAAAATCGAAACTGAAAATCTAAATTTTACTAACCAAGCTCTCCCACAGAACATTTCCGAACTGCAAATTAATTTTTGATCTACAGAAAAAAAGTTTGGCGCGATCACAATTGCAGGTCTAAAACCATAATTTCAGAATTCTTTTATCTGATTTTGTGGAGTTCCAAGATGATTCAAATGATTCTTAAAAAATTAATTAGTGTTTATAGATTCATGTATGGTCCTTTTCCGGAAGAAAAAATGTCAAAAATGGTCATTTTTGAAAGTTTTTTACAGAAAAAATCTATCTCCTCTTTCAGTTTTTGACATTTCTAGGAGTTCTATAGCTCAAAAAAAACCGCAATTATTTTCTCTACATTTTCTATGGATGAATTTTTAATTTGTCTGATAAAACTTTTTTTATAATCAAAAAACAACGCAGACATGCGATTTTGTGCAATTTCATGAGGTTTTTGAATTA